ATATTATATGATATGATATTATATCCATAAATATATATATATTATATAAATAATATTATATCTATTTATCTCTCTATATATATATATATATATATATATATGCATCCATGTATATTCATAAATATCTATATATACATCTGTATATATATATATATATATATATATAGTATAGTATATATATAGTATATATATATATATACAAAACATTCATGTGTTTGTGTATTCGAGAGCTAAGAGGAATACGCATGAATAACCAGGGCACGTCGGGCATTGTAACTATTTGATTCGGAATAGTATAGATACATATAATAAAATTAAGAACATATTTACTATTATACAGGGAACTAAACGTCTTGATGTTTTCACTAATTGTCACAGCAAACCAATGAACACGTGGGTGATGTCGATGTAAATGAATATGAAGAGAGCTGGATGTGATACTAATTTGAGATGGGAACCCAGATAACCCTTACCCACTGCGCCACTGCGCTAGAGAGGAAGGCAAGAGATTCAATTGACGAGACATTTAGATATCGCGGACGCGGAGGTGCTTGCCAATAATAGTAATAAAGTCAAATAGACAAAGGACTCCGAGAGCAGCTGCAGAATTCAATATAGTCATAGTCAAGTAAACGTGGTTTCCTCCCGTGGCTGTTGGCACATTATATAAAAGCTCAAATTATGAACAACTCTCAGGCCTTTCTCTAGAGAGTTGATTTTAAAAAAAATAGTTATTTTTTGTATAAAATAGGGGATTCATATTAGAAGATAGTCACAAGAGATAATAGGATATTGAACATAAGCCCCCCTTGAATGGATTACAAGTTTACAACCATAAACACATCGGGGTCAAGGGCTCATACATATTGTCATAGCCCTCTAAAGTTTGAACAATACATTATAAAAAATATAGCATTCACACAATCATGTGCATGGATACCGCGAGAGTATGTCATGCACGTAGCTCCAATTGCACTGAATGCTCCCCCAATCCCCCATTTATTGACGGGAAAAAGCATGATCCCGCCGGGGTTCAGTAACCAATGAATAGGCCGTCTGAATTGCAGGTTTGGATTCTATATAATTCTCTTGTAAACTTGACCGCTTCCGACATCAGATTAAACTTTTGGCTGGAATTCGTTATGTCGACCAATAAAAAAGTCACCGGCGACCGAAAACGAGGTATAGGACAATAGTTGTCCCGAATTGGAGGACTATAGGACCATTCTGATAGCCTTATTAGATCTACTATTCCGTCGATTCTCAATATTGGTTGGAGAAAAAGCGGCAACCTGCGTATTTTTAACTTGGTAATTTTTTTTTTATAGTGCATCATATTCAGTCATCAGTATGACTGTAGTACAGTAAATATGTAAATAATGACAGCACCCAAAGAGATCGGAAGATTTCTATTTTTATAGAAAAAAGTTATATAATATATGTACGAAAGGTTGTGCCCAATTTTGAGGCTTGCCAGCCGCAGCCTCGCACAGGTGTGTAAATAATTTCATCAACGGCATTAAAATTGCATACATACATATGTACATTGAAGCTCGGAGCACACGTTCTATTTGACTAGTTTGCAATCACTTCACCACTTCTTCGATATCGGTTTGTCTAAACCTTACAAGTATCATATAACTCACCGTCTACCACAGAAACACGGTGGTTATTGTTGAGTGTTTTAAGCACAGACACCAAGTAATTCATATATTCAATGTATCCGTGCAAAACCAGGACGTTCCCACGCGAGAACGTTACGTTATTGACGAGTTTACGAAGGTTGATACATATCTGCCATATCTGACCATCAGCTCTATTAAGTTCAGCCTCCATTTTCTTCGAGAAGCTGGCTTACTATATCTTCAAGCTTTAAGGCTTACTCACAACCCTTAGGATTCCAACTGGGGTATTGAGGTGACCATACGCACCTTTATTATAGTTACTATTTCGACCTTCAGCGGCCAGTAGGATTCAAATTTCACTTGTAGTCACACCTATAAATAGCGCAGTTTACTTCGATGGACACCATGAAGCGCTCTAGTGAGGACCGTGAATCCCCGGTAAGTGCCTTAGCTGTCATCTGATGGTGAACATTGTTTAGAACTCTTATTTGTATAGTAAGCGATAGCTCTTTACACTTCACCACCATTGGTTTGTGTTCCATACGGAGTGATTGATATAGATTATCGCTGGAAGTTTGTCTGTGTCTGCGCACAAGTCAATTTTCTTGTATGCCATTGCTTCTCGCTTATGTGTAGGTGTTTCGGCGTTTAAAACTTCGTAAACTTTCAGAAAGTGAGGTTAAACATGTTGGTGCTTCCCAAAATCCTCCTTATTCCGTTAATGCTTTCCGAAATCCTCTTTATTTCGGAAGAATCTACTTGGTACTCTGCATGGGATGTTAGTATATAGAGCCATCTTATCACAAATTGATGTTTAGAAAATACAATCCGAGTGTTCGATAACCAACATTATCGGAGTCCAACTTTCGCACTTATGCAAGTCTACTATACCTGTGGTTTTAGTAACTCTCAGCTGTACTCGTACTGGAATAACTGAGTTCTGCCTATTGTTGATATAATTTTCTTTTGTACTGTTCAATTATTTAAAGCAACCTATTCTGAACGCGTTGCCTCTTTCCGTCGCAAACGACGTATGCGCTTGTTGCGATAGCCGTCCTCTGTTTACTGTGCTTTCTAAATAAAAGTGAACTCATCTTTCTCTCATCTACTTGTGCCAATAGGAGGATTTCATTTTCAACTTGAATCAGACTACGTCGGCAGGCGAACGTATGTTATTTTACGATATCCGTCTTAGCGGGCTAAGTTTTTTTAGAAATACATGCACACATTGCGCCAATCTCTGTACGAACAAGCACACACCTGCACACACCTACTATATTCAATATATATTGTTAAATACGAGAACACACACACGCACAAACACACACGCACACACACACACACACACATACACACACATATATATTTATATATTCGTGTCTCGTGTTATATATATATACATATATATGTATATATTCGTGTGTATATACTATAATTATATACAAGTACAATAATATGTATGTATGTGTATACATATACTCTAATCCATTTTTATTAAACATATATATATATATACATATATATATATATATATATATATATATTATACACATACGTATATACATATATATATATGTATATGTATATATACTGATGTATTTATGTATATAAATATGCGTACATTGGTTTGTAATATCGCACGAAATACACTCATATATATTATATATATATATAAATATATAATGTGTATGTTAGCACTTCTGTGTTTGTGTGTATTTAGACACTGATTTGTAGATGCATATACATACGCACCCACACATAAATATTATAAATTAGTATGCATGTGGTTTGTGTATGAATGTATGAATATATTCTGAAGTATATACGTATTTATATAATTGATTAATAGAGTTTATATTTTGAATATGGCTACTCCATACCAGCCTCTTTTTTATTAATAGTTATGCGACGTTGGAAAGAATATATAGAGTAATATACTTCCGGTATGCTATACCTACCAGAACTGCAACATGTTGGTTTGTTGCTGCAGTGTATGGACGTGACCTTACCACTAGGCCAATTTATTATCTCGTCTCACGATAAATACTTCTTCATTTTTCGCAGTAGGCGAAGATGGAAAACCTGAGACTGCGGTAGATCGCAGGAAACGTAATTGTATTGCGTCTGCACGATTTCGTCAGAAGAAAAAGCAAGAAATGCAGATGCTCGAGGAAATTGCAAGCAACAAAACAGAAGAGTGCGAGAAGCTTCAGCAAACTGTTAAGCTGCTCCAAGTATGTGATCGCGCGTTCTAATTCAAGCTCTTTAGTGGGTATGGTTTCTATGATTTGTCTAAGGCTATTCTATCGATAACTTTTGCTGCATCTCACACTGTACTGAAAGAAGGGATATATTTGAGTTGTGCAGGGGAACGGTCACGCCACAATTTAAGGGTTGAAGCTTGTTTCGGTATCACATACTAAGTTATTATTCGTGCATTTCTCCTAACAGGCTGAGCTCCAATATTTCAAACAATTGCTGTGTGCGGAGGCCTTCCAATCACAAGCGGCGGCCCATGGATTGCAGGTTCCAGGCGCATACAACCAGGCATCAGGTAAGGGAATGTTTGGATTCAAAGTATTTGGTTACTTGTCGTGTCACTGCTATTACGAACATTCCCAGCAATATCTTCTGCGACGTTTCGCGTTCAATTTAGCTTGTTATCTCTGAACAGGAGTTAAAATAGCTTTCAAAGTCGCGTGGTTTACTGTATCGTTTATGAGTATGCAGTAGTTAATTCGGAATATAGCTTGATTTTCATTTATTCATGTCTACCTTCTTACGACAGTAGGTCAAGGGATGTCTATGTCTGGGTACCCGGCTGGATTTGGTATGGGGCCCAAAGCGATGGGTGCAAACCCACTCGGGTTTAACGGGGCAGTTCCGCTGATTAAGAGCAACATGCAGGCTTCCTCGTTGATGTCTGGACCCATGAACGGCACGAAGTCGACCAATGGAGTAGGCAGCAGTAGCACTAACCCAGCCACCGGTATGGGGTCAAGCGCACAGTCTCCGCTCAATGGATCCAACAAAGCGAACAACGGCATTTCCGGTAATAATCAAATGAATGACTCACAGCAACAACTACAGCAGCAGATGTCACGACCCGCTTACTCACGCACCAACAGCCGCAAAGAAGGCCGACACAGCGCAGGCCCGAGCCCTCAGCTGGCCACAGTCAGTCTGACAGCCGCTCTGGGTCACAAACAAAGCCATTCCCTGTCCGGCGTCAAACATCCCAAGAAAGAGCTGGAACTGCCTTCGTCTACAGGACACTTACTATCCCAATACCCGGGCGTGACGGATCTCAACAGCCCTGGTCCATCGTCGTACAAATCCCCATCAAGCGGTGCGAATGGACTAGTGACACGCCCATCCTCCGGGATCAACGGTAATGGTCCCAACAATTCATTACAGGGAGGTGCAAGTGCCGGCAATGGTAATACTCCGGGTACCTATACACCGCAGGGCGCTTCGTTGTCGTCGCAGACATCCGCGCCACACAGTGGGATGTCCGGGTCTGGGCCTCAGGGTTCACAAATGCCCGTTTTTTTGCAAAATATGTACCCACCAAACATGCTTATGGGCATGTTTGGGATGCAATCGGGAGTTATGCCGCAGATCACGCCGGAGATGGCCCAGATGGCAGCGTATATGGCTATGGTTCAACAGCAACAGCAGCAGATGCAGCAGATGCAGCAGCAACAACAACAACAAATGCATCAGCCGATCCAGAAGTTACCCCCGTCGAGTTCGGAGCTCGCTGGAATGAGCGATCTTAACTTCTCGCTCAAGTCCGAGTGATTTATTTGTATAGAGGCGCAGGAAAAATGCCAAATTTTCAATAATTATTCGAGCTGGTCTTCGCGAAACGACCAAAACGTCGCTGTAAAATGACATCAAAAGAACACCCGATATCGAACGGCTAGTCGAATCTGCTCCAAGCACAAGATATGGTCTTGCAATGACTCGACAGTTATTTGGTTCGGAACCGGGGTGTGGGAGCAATAGATAATTCAGCGGAATTGCAAGGTCCCGACCTGCTTGTTTCTGCTTGATTTACTATGGATATTGGTCTAAATTTATAGATTTATAAGGTCAGAGTTTTATTTAGTTCGCAAGTCATGAAAGGAGTTTTATAATATTATTATACTTTCTCGAGAGTCCGTGAAGCGACACAGGACTTCGTGTAGGGACAGCGTTTTCTTGGTGAAGCACATTATGCAAGGCAAACTATACGAAAGCAACATGAAATGTTATCAGACGAGTGCTTGTTCAATTTTGAACTCAATGAGCAATTTATTTGCTATGCCTCCCAGCTAAACTGTCCTAATTGGTTATTTTACATTCACAATGTAGAGATGTATCGTGTTAATATCACAAGCTTTCGTAAGCCGGTTTGTACATTGCTAAGAAAGATGGTTGAGGTGCCCTCACGCTCCATATAAAGGACTACTTGGACCCGCTGATTATAGTCAAATCGCTCGAGACGGAACAAAATATCTGATAACTGTCAGAAAGTATTAAAGTATTCCACTTCGCTTATTTGGCTGTTGTTAGCGGTACATGCTACATTCGTTCCTTGGATACAGCAGCACGTTTCTTTCATACTGCTCTTTATAATCTCATATTCTCATATTGAATGTATGCCCTGTGCTACTGCAGCAGATTTCAGACCATTGCCAAAGTTCAACAAATACTATTTTGTTCTGTTGTGCTTAATTTTTCGGTATGGTGGTTGGATATAGCCTTGTGTTGCACCAGATTTAATAACTAGCTCGCGCAACTACTGCACAGCAATTTATACGTGTCCAGATGTTCTATATATATGCCCGATATAATATCTTCAAAATATATGTAAATTTTAAACATGATGCACAGTTAACGTTGTGCTTGTGATCAGCCAAGCACGTGAGCGAAACTTGAAATTATATTGTATAGATAATACCAACAATATTTGCGTTCGGCTGATTTTCAAAATGTGTTTCAACAGGCTATGTTAAAATAAAGCAATCGTGAAAATTCTGCCGGGATAGTAGATACCACGAACGTCGAGTAGCCGCAGCTGAGACTGTAATTAAGTCTGTTACCGGACGATACGGGTCGACACTGCTTGAACAGCGAATTAATCAATTCATTAACACCACCATACACTCTTCGCCGCTAGGTACTCTAACTATGATATCATCTTACAATTACACAGATAGTCGGTTGCCTCGTGATTTCGCCTGTTTATACATATACAGATACGCGCTATGTAGCTCTAGCGGATTAAACATTGGCAAGTACACACGCACTTGCTCTTTTAAATACAACGTTCCATCATGCCAACAAGAGAAGAGAGAGAAAATGACAACAATAATATTAATTATGTAATGTTTATCTTCATCAATTATTTTGTGTAAAATACTGTCGCGTTGTCTAATTTATCAGGCTATGTCGCAACTCGCACGTATTTGGTTTATTATTCTACACAAGTTTCTGAATATAGATTTACTCCTAGTTGTTACACTGGCATCCAATCAGTTTAGGTCTGTATACCCCATATTTAAACCCTATAGGAGCGATCATTATCAACGTTTGCGAATCATCACAGCACCACGATCCAGCGATATATACTTCGACCTAATAGCGAAGTCATGCTGCAGCTGTATATGTATATTGCATATACATAGCTTACATAGATCGTACGAACGGCGACTACAACGGTACGAAAGCACCAAGAACCAGCGTGCTGATCTTGAAGGAAATTATAATTGCGCGCCAAGACAAGAGAACATCAACAGGAAGAGACGTGAAAGATAGAAGCTTTGGCTCTCAGTGATCTAAGGACGTTTTCCCCTACAAGCTTACAGCCACTTATTCATCATGAGTGAATCAGCATCAGATACAAAGCGAGAAAAGAGAGCCAAACAACGATATGTACGTAATGGACAGTCAAAGATACGATATGTTGCCAGTTAGTCACATGCAACACACAGAAAGCGGTTTACGACTATCCGAGAAAATTACAACACATGCTTCTTTCAAAGAGCGATATATATATA